TTACTACGGCTTTAACCTCAAACAGGCTTTCCCATTTCCTTTAGTGCATCCCGGCGAGGTTAATTCCCAATTGAACCGCCTTGTTCAGGCCTAACAACAGGTCCGCAGTGTTGGGGATAATCAGCCCCAGAGATGGGGGTCGCGCCCTCCGTGAGACAGGGATGGATGATTCCGGGAATCGATGGGAACAATCCGGGAATAGATCCCTACAAAAACTCGCCGCTGGTTCCTGGAATTGATGGCTATAAACCTCTACGGTTGCTTGACGCGATGTCTACAAGCGTTGCATATGAAATGCTGAGGAGAGGTTAAGATTCTTACATCTTGCAAAAAAGAGTCTGCTTGATCAAGGTTTCTTATTTTTCACCTCATCAGCTTGAATTACCTCCTTGTTCCAATCCCGGAATACATTCCTACAAACCTCGTCGGTGGTTCCTGGAATTGATGTCTATAAACTTTTACGGCTGCTTGACGTGATGCGTACAAGCCTCGCATCTCGCATCTCGCAAGTGGAGGAAAAGTTACGATTCTTCAGCATTTTTTTCTATTCGAACATTTGTTACAAGACATGGCGACGGCACACTCAAGTTTTTTTTCAACTTATTTTTATGCCACCAACAGCGCAGACAAACGCATGAACAGGCATAGTCATTTTCACTTTCTTCAGCAATTCTTACATCGTCTTGAAGAAGGGCGTTTTGAGGAGCTGAAACTTTCTTGTTCTCGAGTTCCCCGCCGCTCAGCCTAACGAGAAGTCGTTGTGAGGATAATGGAGGTGCAGAGATGGAGGTCATGACCTCTGGGCGGTGGGAATAGACGGTTCCGGGAATCGATGGTTCCGGGAATGGATGTTTACAGAACTTGTTATGCGACACTCTACTCGGGTTACACAGAAGTAGGACGCAAATTGGCTTCATGTTTGTGGGTCATATCGAACAAAAACCTTAGCTATCGAGTCACTTACACTAGTCCGGGTGCCATCTTATATCTGAATATTTTATTGAGTGAGTATTGGAGTCCATACGATGGCACCCAGGTGAGATCTACACGTGATTCAATCATTTTATTCCATGCCTCTACTGATGCTCTAGCAAGAGTTATTGCCCAAGCAATTTGGTCCAGGTTTATGGAAAAATATAAAAACTTACGTCCTGGAGAAAAATATAACAACGTCTAAAGGACCTTCAAAACGTCTTTCTAGTCACTCAAAACGATAGTACCGGCCGAGGGTGATGTTTAGGTAAGATTTTCTGTCACAGTAATTTACTCCAATTTGATGAAAAGAAACAAAAAAAAAAACGCTTGCGTCCTGGGCAAAATATACAAACAACGTCTGTACAGGACGCGTTCTTGCAATCACTCAAATTGGCTGAGTTATCTTTAGGCAAGATTTCCTGTCAAACCAATTTGTCCTAATTTGCCGATGAAGTAAAAAGGCTCTGCCTGATGTTGAGGCCGTTTGTAGCCGCAGGAGACGTGCCTGTAATCACCTGTTAGTGACGTGCGGTTCTGTAAGATCGTTAGTTAGATCACGGTAAGATCGTTAGTCAGATCACGGTAAGATCGTTAGTCAGATCACGGTAAGATCATTAGTCAGATCACGGTAAGATCGTTAGTCAGATCACGGTAAGATCATTAGTCAGATCACGGTAAGATCGTTAGTTAGATCAGACAGAGCAGAACACGATTGCGGGGAGCCGGTCTTTAGTTAACCCTGCTCCTTTCGGCTTTTCCACGGGGTTAGAGGCTGATCATAGAATCAGTGGGACGTCCGGAGGTACATGTACTGGTTTTGCCACTATAATTCAATTTGCCGGTTCTCAGACTTAAACTTAGTATAATAATGCCGAATTGGAAGATCAACAAGAAAGCTGAGCTGAGAATCTTGGTATTCCGGCCTGGTACTAATAACCGCCTCCAACGCTTCTATGCAAGTAAGTTTCCCAGGCCTCATGTTCCCATGTGTTGGTGTTCATAGTACCAGACAGGACACCATCTACTTAGTATCTCTATCTATCTATATTCCTACTCATGATAAATGACGACAACATCTCTCTGTTCTTTCCTGAGAAAGTGTCCAGCAAACCTCAGCCGTCTGATTTAAGTTTTCCTTACAGTCCTTGGCATTATGGCCTTGTCATGAATACTTGACAGAACTGCCTGGGAGCCCGGGCCACTGATACGACTTTACGCGACTGCCTGGAGGCACGATTCACCCCATAGCCAGGCTCTCAGACTGTAAAGAATTATAATGATGCACAGGAAGATAAATATGAAAAGCTTGGTATACACAGTTTCATCAGAGAGTAAATAAAGTCACGTTTTCCTCCCAGCCTTCTGTTTTCATCAGGACTTCTTCCTGAATTTTTAAGAATTGTCTGACTGCCTGGAGGCACGATCCGCCCCATAACCAGGTGGAAATGAGGAGATTAAGAATTAATGCGGAAGTGGATGGAGCTCGGCGGGATCCTGCTGATCGTTAACCTTACAGTGCGTTGTGTGGAGGGGGGGGGGTAATTACTGTATCCAGAACTGTGCCTGTCTTGTTCTATGCCTGAATGGGTTAGGGTTAGGATCAGGCACGGTTCTGGATAGTCTCCGTGTGTCCAAGAACATAGGTTTGCCCCAGGCACGGTTCTGGATACGCGTGGACTATCCAGAACCGTGCCTTACATTTTTATGGATAAAGCTTAGTTCTGGACACAAAGTAGCCAGTAGTAGACTTCAGGGCAGCTGGTTTTGTTGGCACCCGCTCGTAAGGTCTTCAGAACGGTTCAATGAAGTATGCAGTTCATTTGTTGGTTCGTAGAGCAGCTATATAAGAGTGGACTGAAACGTAGCATGAAAGGTTGGACAATTCAGTGTCCCACAGACTTCATCACTCCAGTATAAAATTCTCATCTGTAAAGCTTTTCGAGTGAAAGATTGGTTGATATGTACATCTGCAAGAAAAGCCGGATTCTGTCGACTGCCCACATCTCAAAATGAAAATATCATGTTTACCATCTAAACATCTACTTACTACATGTCTGTTTGGTCAACCGTTTCTCTGTCATCACTCATAGTACAGTTTGCTATATAAGGAAACACTATGTCACTGTCACGTCCTGCTGGGGTCACCGTGAGGTCAGGCGTGTTCTGCTGAACACCAATACCGTACATAAGGTATCAGACAGGCTGATATACGGGCCTGTTGGCAGCCTATGGTTTATGGCTATTGCAGAGCGCATTTGCTATTCTAACGGGCTTTGGCTGGCAAAAACCCGCCTGGCTGAAGCATTGTGCGTTAAGCATCATCTTTATGAATCCATTCCAAGGTAAACATTTTAACAAAAAAAATAGAGAAGTTGCTGAACATACGTACAATATGAGAAATGGATCTGTAGTGATGCATTGAACGGTTGGAGGGTTATGTTATATTGGCGTAAGGCTCTTGCCAAGACGCGTTCGCCATTCTATCGGTTTGTTCCGGACCCTCCTGATTAATACATGGGGCACGTCAGATATCAGGCACTGTGATAAATTGGGATGGGGAAAGCCTTGGGTTTATAGCTGTTGTAACGGTTTTCAATCAGGGTGGACTTTTGGCCCCTTCAGGTGTCTCTATTTAAAATATTTGATTCGTTTACTTAGAAAATACCCATTTGCAGAAACGACAGAACTGATACTGTTGCCAAGTCACTCCTTTATTTATATTTACAATTCCCAAACTACCAAGTCACCCGTGAATTCTGTACATGAATGTCTGAGACTACAAATTGCCATAACGCCAAGAGACGTCACGGTTACAGACAACAGTTCCATAACCGGTTAGGACGATGATAAATCAGCTTTCATCTTTCATCTTACATTTTACAACATTGTTATTGGTCCCGCCTGCGTCATTGTCTACAGAATTGAAACTCGATACAACAGTTACGGAATACGGACTACAGCGTCTTACCAGTATGAGAAAACCTTTCAGTGATCTTTTGACCTGCTGATACTTTTTACACAATATTTTAAAATGATATGATGTCTTAATCAGGTCACAGACCCTTGACTTTTTTGCCCTGCAGTGGCATAGTTACTTCCACATTCATTGCGTTTCACTGCGGTGTGATGCGTTGCACGAGAAATACCCCCAAACCATACATATATAGATGGTACTGAATGTGCAACCCATATATATATATTGGCCCCGCAGGACAAGGGTATTAAGAAAGTTCACCAAGAAATTCAATACTCGGAGCAGCAAAAAGAGTAACAACATCTGCAGTAGATCAATATGAAGCGAATCCGGCCAAACGTAGGTCGGCTTTGACCATGGAGAGTCGTGACTGATTTTCTACACTACACAGGCTGACATTCGATCTGCCTTCTGACCGCTCATACCTCAGGTAACCCTAACCTCTGCAAACTCTGCTGAGCACGATTTAACAGACTACTGAGCCTGCGTGCTGCTACCTCTAGTAACCCTGGTTCAGGGTATCTCGGTATGCATTTTGCTAGTCCGTACCTTAACGGAAGCGAAAGGTACAAAAGCAGTCATTGATAGTGCAATCTCTTACTCATGGTTGTGTAGCTGTACAATACACATGATGCACTTGGCAATAGCCTCTCAAACCACATTTCATGTACCTTTTATGAATTCAAAATACATTCTGATTCTCAAACCTGACTACTGTATAACATCTTATGCTATGCCATGCCAGTTAGGGTTCAAAAGTAGTCTGTTAACCTTTTTTTACAAGTGAAAATCCCAATAGAAAGATCGCAAATTCACATAAGTTCAAATGCAGTTCTCAAGTCATTTACACAGATGCAAAAACGATTTTTAAGACTTAAAACAGGTCCAAAACGATTCCACACCTGACTACTGTGTAAAACCTATGCATTTCAGTAAGGATTGAAAAGTCTGTTTAACTTTGTACAAGTGCAGTTCTCGAGACTGGCACACCTTTACACAGATGCAAAGTGACTTTTAAGATTTCAAAACGGTTCAAAACGTTTCCGCACCTTCAGATGGGCACGTCGAACGCGTACACCCCTGACGTCCTGACCTCCCTCCTCTCGCGTGTGAAGTCCCGGCAGGTCCGGTCCCGCAGCATCTCTCTCTTCACAAAACTGTCGTAATAATTCTCCATCTGTAGGTCCTCACGTTCCGACTTAATGTACTGCACCAGTAACAGCAGGAGGCTGGACGCGTAGAATATCAGAACAACTGGAATGGATAGAGAGTAGTACAGTTAGTAAGTAGTAGTTGGAACAGATGGACAACAGTAGAGTAAGTAAGTAGGTAAGTAAGTAAGTAAGTAAGTGTAGTAATTCTCCATCTGTAGGTCCTCACGTTCTGACTTTATGTACTGGACCAGCAACAGCAGGAGGCTGGACGCGTAGAATATCAGCACAACTGGAACAGATGGAGAGTAGTAGTAGTAGTAGTAGCAGTAGTAGGTAAGTAAGTGTAGTAATTCTCCATCTGTATGTCCTCCCGCTCCGACTTAATGTACTGGACCGGCAACAGGAGGAGGCTGGACGCGTAGAATATCAGCACAACTGGAGCAGATGGAGAATAGTAGAGTTAGTAAGTAATTAGTAGCAGTAGTAAGTAAGCTAGTAAGTAATAGCAGTAGTAAGTAAGTAAGTATGTAGTAGTAGTAGCGTAAGTAAGTAAGTAGAGTTAAAACACAAGCACTACCAGCACTAGTAGTTCTGAGGCTAGACGCGTAGTATATCAAAATAACTGGAATGGCAGCAGTAGTAGTAAGAGTAATAGTAGTAATCCTAATAGTAGAAACGTACATAAACACTAATATCAGCCCAACTGGGGCACAACATGAGAAGTAGAGTTAGTCTTGAGAGTCCCCAATATCCATCTTATGTCATTTCATCCTCTAGTATTTCATCCTCTTATCTATCAAAACACTCACCCGTTCGTCCCCTTCCCATTTCACCCCAGACTTCGATTTTTGTTGGAAAGCCTGGACCTTCCGACCTTTACTTGATAGTACATGCACACGCACGGACATAGGACCGCTGGGATCGGGTAGAAGGTCTCAGCACTTTGTTTGAACGTGAGGATGATGGGAGAGGGGTTTAAAATCACATTTATTACAATGTACATACAGGATGAAAGGTTGCTTGGGAAAAGCCTAGGTCAGCCCTTTATGTCTTGGCATACTTAGAGGAGGGCGCAAGGCAAGTTAGAAGAAATCTATGTGCATCGGAAATTTTGGTGTTCCAAAATCATTTTTAAAAAAGTTCTGCACATAAATAGCAAGTAAATTTTACACACACACACACACACACACACACACACACACACATATATATATATATATACACACACATTCCCTTAGCTGATGTGTTTCTAGCGCAGTATATGGCATTATTCTGTACCTCCAGAACGCGTGAGAACGCGAGATTGATGTGAGAAACATTATACTGTACCCTCTGGACACGTAAGAAACCATGAAGGTCTTCATCAAACATCATTTGTTTACAAGCTATCACCACAGAGACTTATCCATCGTGTGAAGAGTGGGGTCAGATTAGGCTGTAGGAAGAAAGATGCAGTGTTTCCGGTTTCTTAATCGACCCTAGCAAAAGGCCGCCAACCCTAGCCTTTTTGGGTCAACCATTGGCAGGTCCAGCAGAATTTCGATTTCTGATGTCTTCATTTCACACCTTTTGAAACGTTGTTTCGAGGATTTTCAGATTCAGATTTTCATTGAGTAAAACAGATCAATATTAGTTCCTGTATTTCCAACAGACAAATGAAGAGACGGATAATGGAGACAGAGGCAATTCAGTCCTGAGGCAAAGTTATCTTCAGTTTTACGTTGCTAAACTTGATTTTCTAATCACTTCAACCTAAATCTATAAGGAAGACAACAAAAAATAGTAATTCCTACCTACCGACCCTAGTCGTTTCTAATGTTTTCATTACTGAAACCGGTAACACAACATTTCTCCTAGTCCTTAACGAGTAGCATGTTTTATCCACGAGTAAGATCAACACAGCAGCATTATTGCCTAACAACTGCTTCCTACAGACTCTATTCCTGCCCCACTGGTAGGCACTGGTGGGATTTTATGGCGTTTATTTCCGCACATTTCAATTTGCCGTTGAGCGTGAAATGAAGACTTAGACAGTCGGCTGTAATGGGATTCCCTGTAAATAACGTTATAGGTCATCATCGATATGAGCGGGTTAACATCGCAGTGTGTGATGTTCATTGGTCACGCCGGTAGCTTTCATGCGCGCATCTGTTCAGGGGTAATTACAGATGGAGTTATAGCATAGGCAATAGTGGAGGCAGTCTGTCATACCGTACCTATAGTACATGTGTACTACCAAGAGAAAAGAATATCTACCCATTCAGGCATAGAACTAGATAGGAACGGTTCTGGGTACAATAGAGACTATCCAGAACCGTGCCTGATCCTAACCCTAACCTATTTAGGCATAGAACTAGATAGGCACGGTTCTGGGTACAATAGAGACTATCCAGAACCGTGCCTGATGCTAACTCTAACCCATTCAGGCATAGAACTAGATAGGCACGGTTCTGGGCACAATAGAGACTATCCAGAACCGTGCCTGATCCTAACCCTAACCTATTTAGGCATAGAACTAGATAGGCATGGTTCTGGGTACAATAGAGACTATCCAGAACCGTGCCTGATGCTAACTCTAACCCATTCAGGCATAGAACTAGATAGGCACGGTTCTGGGTACAATAGAGACTATCCAGAACCGTGCCTGATCCTAACCCTAACCCTTAGCCATCCAGGCATAGAACTAGAAAGGCACGGTTCTGGCTACAATAGCTGCTGCATAATAATGATTATCTTATAAGAAAATCTACCCTCAAGTATATGAACAACAGTTCCTTACCTATGATGTATATGAAGGCGTTTGGGTCCACAGGTATGGGGTACCCCACAGGTGCACAGAACGTCCCGTTGCCATGGTTACCCGTCAGGTTGAAGCCCTCCGGACAGACGGTTCCCGTGGGGACGTTATAGAACACGGGGTTGGTTGTCAGGGAGTCGTTGTACGCCGGCTGGTCCACGGGACGGTCCATTTTGCTGTCACTGTTCTGTAGCAACAGCGCGCGGTTGAGATCTGTACAAACCGCGTAACTTCGTCCTGACTCCTCACTGAAGCCCACAACGTGCTCTTATGTCTCACTACAACTTGGAGCGTCTAACGATGCTTAACGCGGTAACACGTCCAATGTTTGTTCTATAAAACGACAGTCTGTTCTAGATCTGTAGCACCAGTGTTCACAAGCGTGGATCAGAGCTATGAAAACAAAGTGCCGTCTTTCCAAATCCTTTGCTGAAGTGGTTCGCACACGATTAACGTTTGATTCTGACTACAACCCGCAGCATCTAGTGATGTCCTGTGGCTAACGACGCTTTACTACGCAGCAATACGTCCTACGCTTGTTCCACAAACCAACACCAAGAACAATAGCCTGTATAGCCACTATCGTGACTATAAGTCCTCTAGATTCGTCTATCAACGTAGCAGCACTTCAGGTAACCTACCTCCGTCCGGCAGATGACTTGGAAACTCGCTAAATGTGTAACAGTTTGTCCGACCCAGCAGCAGCTTGTACGACGTTTGTCCGACACGGCAGCAGCTTGTGCGACGTTTGTCCGACACGGCAGCAGCTTGTACGACGTTTGTCCGACACGGCA